ATTACATCATTAATTATTTATAGGGTGTCTGTTTCTGCTTTTCAGTAGAAATCAAGTCGTTGGCAACACAATTCATGCTGTTGGGAGCCGCAATTTTGGACCAATTCTCTTACTGTAGGGTTGTAGGTTCGAAAAAAAATGGTAACACAATCAATTTTCCTTCCTCCTTGCAGCGCGCCCAGACACGCCCTTAATTAACCAAAAAAAATTATATCTTTATTAATAACAAATTAATTATTAAACAAAAATATTAAATATAAATTAAGCAAACGTGCATTTTACGTTGCTCGCACCTAGTATATATATACCGTTTGGTAACCATTATTCTAGAAAAAAATGCATTTTTTGTGTCAAATCACACCTTTTTTGTGGTTGAAATGAAGGAAAAGTTATTGATGTGATAGAAAATATTCTTTTATTGATGAATGTATGGTTGAAAATTAGTAGAAGAATGAGAATGAAAAAAAGAATGGATACCAAACAGAGGCATAGTTCTGAAAATCTTGAAAAATTATAGTCAAGTATTTCACTTTATATTATATACGTATTATGCATTGAAAGATTAATTTTAATAAAGATAAATTGAATGTTTACAAAATTTATGATTTCGAAATATATAAATAATGAATAACAATTAACTTAAAATCTTTAATTTTATATCAAATAATTGTTTTTATATTTTTAAGTAATCATCCACCGGTCCAACCATTAAACTTTTTATTTTTCCCCCTTCATCCCACACGTAAACTTTTTACGGCGTGCAAGATATACTTTTTACATACCTTAAAAAATGTAATTGTCGTTTTCTATACCCTAAAACGATATATATATATATATATATATATATCTTTGTGTGTGTGTGTCATTTTAATTAAGATTAAAATTAAAACGATACCAGTGTCGTCAAAATTATACTGAAACGACAATGACATCGTTATGTGTCAAATTTACAAAATAACATAACAAATTTCATATTGTTTTAGTACAAATTTGACGAGTTCGAAATTGTTCCAATTCAAATCATAACTACAACGACATAAATATCGTTTCTTTTCATAGAAAACGATAATTATATCATACTTGCTAAAACAACGATTCGATCGTCGATTTTACGCATAACAACATCCATGTCGTTCTATGTGAACTGAAACGACATAGATGTCATTTTAGTGTAGGTTTCAACCGAAACGAGTTCGACCTCTTTAAATTTGTACTGAAACGACATGTATGTCGTTATGTTATTTAGTGTGTTTGGTACATAACAATATTATTATCGTTTTATTACAAATTCTACGATATCGATATCGTTTCAGGACAAATTATAACTAAAACAACATATATCTCATTTCAGTTTGTATATAACGATATTTATATCGTTTCTGACAAAAATGACGATTCGATTGGCCACGACCCCCCGACATGCATCCGACATATACAGGACGATAGAAATAGTTCATCAAGTGGGTTCGATCTTACTCAAAAGAAACTATAAGAACATTTGTGTTGCCATTATTGTATCCAATCTTCGAACTATTCCCACCGAAAGAAAGAAAGAAAGTATCTTTGTTCACTTTTTCTAAGTCATTCAAGTGGTATCAATCCACTCGATGTCATTTTTCGATCGTCCTACATACGTTGAAGGCATGTCTGATGGCCAAGGATGGTTGAATCGTCGATTTTACGCATAACGACATCTATGTCATTTTTTTCAACCGAAACGAGTTCGACCTTGCTACATTTGTACTGAAACGACATGTATGTCGTTTTGTTATTTAGCGAGTTTGATACATAACAATATCATTATCGTTTTATTAAAAATTCGACGATATTGATATCGTTTCAGGACAAGATATAACTAAAACGACATATATCTCGTTTCAGTTTGTATATAACGATATTTATATCGTTTCTACCAAAAATGACAATTCGACCGGCCATGACCCCCGACATGCATCCGACATATATAGGACGATCGAAATAGTTCATCAAGTGTGTTTGATCTCACTCAAAAGAAAACTATAAGAATATTTGTGTTGACATGATTGTATCCAATCTTCTAACTATTCCCACCTAAAGAAAGTATATTAGTTTGCTTTTTCTAAGCCATTCGAGTGGTATCAACATATTCGATGTCATTTTTCGATCGTTCTGCATATGTTGAAGGCATGTCGAGTGGCCAAGGATGGTTGAATCGTCAATTTTACGCATAACGACATCCATGTCGTTCTCTGTGAACTAAAACGACATAGATATCGTTTTAGCGTAGGTTTCAACCGAAACGAGTTCGACCTC